TCACCACATCACACCGGCTTAGAGATTTGTTAGGGACTGTCCCATAATATACAGGGGTTAGGGTTAGTGTTTAATGAATACTACTAATCCTACCCCCCCCCCCCCCTTCCCCAATACAATGGGAAGGTCTGGGGATTCCCCTAACAAATTTCTAAGCCAGCGTGTTGTGGTGAAATAACAAAAGAACCGTGACCTCATTGATTTTAAAATTATACTGTACTTTATATCCCACCATAATCTGTCTCATCACATGTTAGTCAACCTTACTTATGTGTGTGTATATGTGTACGTGGGTATGTACATGTGTTGGTATGCAAGTATTATGTGTGTAGGATTACTGTGCAAGTGGTTGTGTATGTATGTGTATGCTTGTATATATTTACAGGTGCCTGTGGGTTTGTGTGTGTGTGTAGGATTATGTGCGCAAGTGATTGTGAATACATCTATCTATGTGTGTGTAAGGGTGTGTATGCTTGTATGTATTTACGTGCGCCTGTGGGTTTGTGTGTGTAGGATTGTGTGCAAGTGATTGTGAATTCACCTATGTATGTACGTGTGTATGTGTTTATGTATGTATATGGGCGTGTATGCTTGTATATATTTACGCGTGCTTGTGGGTTTGTATGCGAATGTATTTGTATGCCGGTGCGTACATATGCGTGACTGTATGCACGTAAGCTGAAATGTGTGTAGCTAAGTGTGTACATGTGAATGTTAATATTTCTTATACCCAGTGTTATGTATATACTTAGTATTCATGTAATAAGTTTTTGTTGTTGTTGCTAAATGAATTTAACATGCATGGTGTGTGTGTGTGTGTGTTTATGTATGGGTGCATGTATGTATGGGTGCATGCATATATGCAGGTATGTATGTATGGGTGCATGTATATAATATGTATGTATGGGCGCATGTATGTATGTTTGTGTGCGTGTATGTATGTATGTGTGCATGCATGTGTGTATGTATATATATATATTTGTGTGTGTAGCGTACATGCATGCATGTATGCACGTACATATATGCTGTTTGAAAGATGAGTGGTTTAAAAAGCCGACAGACTGACAGGTCTGCATGCCGACTGTATGACCTTTTAAAAAATAAAGTCCGTTCAATTGAAGACTTGTGTTGCAGTTTTCTGATCAGTTATTACCACTGCCTCATGTTAAAATTTTTGTTTGTCAGCGTAAGTGAGATTACTTGTTATTTTTTCCCGAAAAAAAAAATTATTCTGTGTTTTGGCACCTTTCCGTTTTTCCAGAGGATCATGGTTATACTGTGCAGACCAGGGATCCCAAAAATAGTTTTCTTATCAGAAATTCTTATAAAATTCCCAGGTTTTCTCACCTGTGATTGAAACATAATGTAATATTTCAAGTTAAAAAAAAAAAAAATCGCCGGGGATAAACAAAATTATCCACATCCTTTATCGCCTTAAGCGGTGTGCAATGTACTGTATTATAGAGACTTGTGGGAATGAAGTATCTTCTCTGCATAGCACAAAGCCAGAGAAGTAATGCACAGATCATGTGCTGTCCTCATAGCAAGATCCCTTGGCTGATCAACTTGGGTCTGCAAGGCCTGTGTTTAAAGATCATAACGTACTGTCCTGTAATTCATTTAAGTTCGTCTTCGATTCTTCTGTCAGGAAACATAACAGGAGACTGGTAGCCTTTATGAACGCTATCGTGCAGTCCAAATCCCTTCCCTGTGCCATACAACATAGTCTTCATTGAGGTTGGAACAGGCCAGATTTTGTCTCTGTTGGCAGCATACGTTGGACTGTTGGAACACAATAGCCAATTACATGCTGCCAACAAAAGCGCAATATGGCCTGCTCTAACTTCAATGAAGACGATGTATGGTACACATCGAGATTTGGGCAGTAAGCTTCTTTTATATCCAATCACTGGTTCCACAATCCAATCCTTGATGTACTATGATTTTATTTTGGCGGTAGGCGTTTAGAAAAATACCATTCTCAGTTTTCAGAAAGTGGTATGCGAGATACACCGTGAAAGAGATTAGATACTCACCACTTAATACTCACAAAGAGACAGTGGTGGACGCACGACAACCAATCTCCACCAAGCAGACAGCTGAACTTTAAAAAAAATTGTGTCTTTCAGAATTTCTAAGAGTCGATTTTTGAGTGTAAAATGATTCATAAACTGATCTGAATAGCTTTAGAGTATCAAAGTACTGTTTTAACAAACACAATCCACACTAACTTAAGGACTAACAAGATCTCTTTTCCCACACCTTCAGGCGAACCGGGTATAAAGAGCTAGACCTATATATTTTTTTAGACCGACTGGCACTCTGTGTGTGATGTGGTCAGCATCATGTTAATTTCTAGGACTTTACCTGGTACCCGCTTAAAGCTGGGTCGACCTGGGAGCTGTGTCGGAGCAGCTAGACACTGGCATGCGGATGGGAAGGTCGTGGGTTCGCTTCCTGGTGGAGCCGGACTTTTTTTTTCAAAAATGACCTTGGCTCCTACATCAACCCAGCCTTGACTGGGTACCGGGTGCAGTCCCGGGAAGTAAAGACGGCCGGCGTGATGCTGACCACATCACCCATCTTGTGCCGACTGGTCTATAAAATTTAGGTCCAGCCTTATATGCCCTATACGCCTAAAGGCGTGAAAAGGGTCCTTTACTTACTTTACTTGTTAAAAGGTGTCTATGGCCTGGTATTGCAAACGTGATCGTAATGTTGGCGTGCCAGGTTCGATCCCAACTCCAAGCGATTTGGCAGCAGGCTGCCCTGCGTTGGTTTCGATAGTGGCATGGAGAGCCGACAGTTAAGTGATTAATGTAAACTACTAGACGTAAATTTACCTAGAAAACCTCCAACAGGGTTAGTTCTGTAAGGGACACACAACTAACTTAAAGTGGAAGTAGGTCTACCACCCCCCCCCCCCCCCATATCCAAATGAGGACCCGACTCCAACACAAACATTACCAACATTTTAATGATGTTGCACAAGAAAAGGCCATCTTGGTCTCTGAGGTTCCCGGTCCCACTGCGGGGAAAACAAGCATAGACTCACTGCCTCTCCAACAAGCATGTCGTACGACTAACTGGTGGCTTCCGTCGAAGTACATCTGCCCAAACGGCAAGGAACAGCCAACTGCACATAAATAAGCCAGTAAAACGGATGTACACGCAAAATGCAGGCTCTGTCACAAAGCCAAAGTCCTAGTGGACGAACAATAAGGAATTTCCGCCGCAGCTTACAACCAGTGGAAGAAGAAAAAGAAGAAGAAGAAGAAAAATAAAAAGGAGGAGGAGGAGAAGAAAAAGAAGGTCTCTAAAATGTCAAGTTAAGGGTCATGCCAGTGACACTGTCCCTGTAATGTCTTTTAACTTTCTGTGGCACTAAATTATGTATAGTATAGTAACTAACAACATCCCCCTTTCCCTGTATAAGTTACAAGCTGAAGATCTCATGTTTTTCCACAGTTAGTGGGGGATATGGCCAAAAGCACACTAATTGTCTCCCCCTCCCTTTTCCCCTAAAATAAAATTCTTTGTACCTATTAAGGTTAGCAGGTACCCAAGAGTACTAAAGTGAATCTTATCAGAACTATTTTTAGCCAACACTATGCTATCAGTGTCAAACGTGGACACTTACATCCTCCAATGAGCGTAAAATTGTGACAACAGAGATGAAATGCCTTAGAAGGGCTGCAGGAGTTTCAGGGAAAGACAGAATACGAAATCACGAAAATCAGATGAAAGCTAGCAATAAAGCCAGTCTTACAGGTCATCCAAGAATAATGAAGTGGTTTGGACACCTAACAAGAATTCCCCGGTACTATCTGCCACAGCGAGTTACACTAAAACGTTACAACGGGTATAGAGCGATTGGAAAACCTCAGAAAATATGGAGTGATAGCATTAAGAACAGCCTTACAGAAATGAACATCAGTCCTAATAGTGCTCTTGACAGAGCTCATCAATGAATGTTACATCTACCTCCGACACTTCGCTGATGTAAAAGGTGGAAGAGAAGAAGAAGAAGAAAAAAAGAAGAAGTTATCTGGGAGCATAGGTAATTTAATGGAGATATAAACCACATGCTACTCTGCTCACCTGTTTTCCTCGCCAGAAATCTGATCATTAACAATTTCTAGTGACTGAATAGTACAGCACAATGCCCACCTAACAAAGATACAACATACAGACTGGCTATCCAAAACAGAGCCCATGCAATAGTTTGGCAATTTACTTTTCTCTCACAATCCACTGAGGTTAGTCCATGAGTTACCAATGCATGTGTCATGACGCCCCAAATCAGGTCGCAAAGATTTTCCTGTTGGGCCACCTGGCAGTGGCGAGCTACACAAATTTAACAAACACAAACACACATCTTTTTTAAAATGGCACCACTGCAGAGATTTATTTGTGAACTGTGGGCGCTGATAAGCTTGTGATTGGATGGTTCTTAGTGATACATACAGACTGAGTGACTAGCTTTTTCCTTGCTGGCGACAGTTTTTCTTCAATGCTAGCTAATTCTGTTAAATTTAATTAATCATATGTCGACACAAATCGAATGATCCATATTATTTTTTATAATTTTTTTAACCAGCCAAGCAGACGTCCAATAGCAGTCAATATATTTTCAACGTGTTTTCATTTACCTTATTAAAGAGCCTATTTTTAATGAATCGCGGGTCACTTTCCCTCTACAAAATGATGTTGCCACTCTAAAATGATTGGGAACCGCTGGGTCAGTCGCAGTTATAACTTCATGGCAAAGCCGCCGTGCTGTAGCAGCTAAACGTTCACCTGTGGATTTAAAGGCAGGTCCTGACAGAGCAGGACTTTTTGTAAGCTTTTATTTCAGGAATGACCTTGGCTCCTAGGTGCGTCTGGGGATTTTAGGTTTCTCACATTCAGTGATCATAAAAGTATATGGCCCAGTCTCTTACTTGCCATAAACCTTTATGCTGTACTTGATGAAAGGTCTTTGTGAAATCTAATGGCTATCATATAATATCTTCCCATGCCAACATAAGCCCAGGAACACTTACCTGGAAAAAGCTCAAGCCAATATCAATGTCTCTAATGTCCACCACATTTCCCTCTACAAAAGCCACAAGCACCTGTAGGCAGCCCTGCACACAGAAGCACAAGCCAATATCAATGTATCTAATAACCACATTTCCCTCTACAAAAGCCACAAGCACCTGTAGGCAGCCCTGCACACAGAAGCACAAGCCAATATCAATGTATCTAATGTCCACCACATTTCCCTCTACAAAAGCCACAAGCCCCTGTAGGCAGCCCTGCACACAGAAGCACAAGCCAATATCAATGTCTGTAATGTCCACCACATTTCCCTCTACAAAAGCCACAAGCACTTATAGGCAGCCCTGCACACAGAAGCACAAGCCAATATCAATGTCTGTAATGTCCACCACATTTCCCTCTACAAAAGCCACAAGCACTTATAGGCAGCCCTGCACACAGAAGCACAAGCCAATATCAATGTCTGTCTCTAATATCCACCACATTTCCCTCTAGAGAAGCCACAAGCACTTGTAAGCAGCCCTGCACTTAGAAGCACAAGCCAATATCAATGTCTCTAATGTTCACCACATTTCCCTCTACAGAAGCCACAAGCACTTATAGGCAGCCTTGCCCACAGCAAGCCTTCTTCAGATCCATACATATAAATGCTGAATGCAACTAATTTTGTACATTTTTCCCTTCAGGATTGCAGCTTGAAAGTCTGACACCCTGTGACTCAATGATTCACTTTTTGAATGTTTAAATAGCCAGAGCAAATCCCAGACATGCCATTCAAAAATATAAAATAGTTGTATTGGAACACTCTGTGGGTCCTCTCCTATGGGTGAGGTCTCTTATTGTGCATTCAACTAAGTTATTTGTGTAAATGCTACTGAAGCACATACTTGGCATTATGTGGTAAAACAAAATCATTAACAGCTGTCTTCGCAGTTTTCTAAGTGCTTAGTCTTCGAAGGCTCAGGCAGCTGGGACAAACTCGGAGAATGAAGGGCGGCAGAGTCCTTACTGATAGAAGATACCGGGCTCTCTGCATGGTAATGACTGACTCAAGAGAACAGAATACCACTGATCATGTTGCAAGGAGGGAAAATCTGGAAGGGAATAGGAACTTCTTCTTATTCCTTGAATTCAACGGCTGTAAGTAAACACCGGCAGAAAATCTAGGTTGTGTGTCCAAGTGTGGACTTTAGTCTTGCTCCAGAACTTGAGCTTTGTGTGCACATCCATTTTACAGATCTGGCTTATCTGTATGCAAACTGCTGGTTCCTTGCCTCTCTTGCAGATGCACTCCGACTTTGAAGGAAGCACTCTTAGTCAGTTAACTCTTTTGTCATTCTTGTTAAGGTCTATTCCTTTTTTTCCCCTCACAATCGGGCCTTGGAACCCACATGGGGAGAAACAATGGACAAAATGATTGCAAGCAAGTAAAAACTAGCACCTGAGAAGAAACAGCCAAACACATGTGATGGTAACCATCCTATACATAGGAATATGATGCTCCTCTGTAGTAGCTTATTTTATGCCCCCTCTTCCTTCAGCATCACTATTTGTTTACAAACAAAACGTTGTGGTATTATTTACTATAATTTCAAAATGTACTGAAGTATTGAAACTTAACTGAACACAATACACAAGAGATGAAACATATGTGCAAGCTGAAAATTTATAAACTATTGTGAAGACAAAAACATATGGTAAAGACCTGAAATAACTTACTAGTTTAATAGCTAACATAAAAGAAAAAAAAGATACAACAATTATCATGGAAACCTCAAATTTAGTCAATCTTATTACTACTAGCTCTATTTTGCTTCTCTCAAATGCTCCCGTCCCAAAAATTTTACCGTTTAATGCAGCTGTACATGCCAAATTACAGACTTGACAGTAACAATGGTTCCGAAACTGCAGTTGCTTATTGTGGAAGACCCTTCAACTCGGCTGGTATTTTTAATCCCATCTCAACACCATGCAGTCTTGGCCTGACCCCTCTAATTTTTTTCTTCTACGCCATAGCCACCAGTTACTCCACACATTTTTTTCACCTCCAACTTTAACACTGAAATTGCCTATTATTACTGTTGCTTCAAAATGATTATACTGATCAAAACCCATGTCGAAATCATTATAGAATTCATCAATGTCCTCTTGTTAGCTTTCTGCAGTTGGTGCATACACCTGTACTAAGTTTGCATCAACTGGCTTGCTATGGATCTTCACTAATAGAACCCTGTCTGAAATAGTCCAATATCCTTGAACAGTTTTTGCACACTGTGGGTCCAGAATGGTTTACCTGGATATTTTCCCCTACATCCGGTCAACACATTTCACTAATTGTTGGTTTTTACTTGTCAAAATATTTTTTATCCATCATGTCTTTTCATTCACCCAGATATCTTATTTTTCTTATCCTTTCATTTACACAAAATGGCTTGTTGTCATGACTTCAGCTGCCCATAATATCTTATATGTGAAACGCTGATAATATTTAATATCACCTCATTTACCTCAGTGTAAATATCACTTGCAGCGAAGTTGCCACGCTCTGTACTAGCATACGCATTACGACAGTTCTTCACACTGACACGACAACATGATGTCGGGACAGATGGGCTAGTCTGTTTCCTGGAAAATCCAGTTCGGAACCAGTCTGTATAGTTTCTAATGCCACAACATTGAAACTGGAGGCAAAGGTAAACAAATTATCTTTGTGAACTGAACAATAAGACAAGATGAAGTAAAGACAATAAAAGTTATCTTTATAAATGAAATAAAGCTAGCTAAAAATGAAGGAAAGATAAAAGAACACAACTGTCTTCATGAACTGAATAGCATGTCAGCTGTAGAAAAGGTAAAAGAACAAAGATTTTCAAGAACAACATGTCAGCTGTATAAAAGGTAAAAGAACAAAGATTTTCAAGAACAACATGTCAGCTGTAGAAAAGGTAAAAGAACAAAAGGTTTTCAAAAATAACATGCCAGTGGTAGAAAAGGTAAAAGAACAAAAGTTTTCAAGAACAACATGTCAGCTGTAGAAAAGGTAAAAGAACAAAGGTTTTCAAAAATAACATGCCAGCTGTAGAGAAGGTAAAAGAACAAAGGTTTTCAAGAACAACACGGAAGCTGTAAAAAAAGGTAAAAACAAATGAAATGAATAACATGCCAGCTATAGAAAATAAAATTGCATGAACAGTACAACATGATATAGAAAAGGTAAAAACTACAACACTATGTGCTGATTACACAGAGAGACACAGAATAAGGTGGTTCAGTTATATAACAAAAACTGAACTTGTACAACTACTCCTGGGTATCTACAGGCATAGAATGGCTTACAGAACATAAAGAAGGCAAAGAATTAACAAGACAAGTAGCATCTTCTTTTTAGCAACCACACTGTAAATACTGACAGAATGTTCTAGTTGTTTGTCAACTTCTTGACTTTGGTTTGGTTCCATAACTTTTAGCTCTGCGTGCACATCCATTTTACGGGTCTGGCTTCACTGTATGCAGACAGCTGGTTTCTTGCCTCTCAGGCACACACACTCAGATTTGGAACAAAACACCCCTCATTAGTTGCCTCCTATGACATGACCGTTAGAGGGACAGTGGGACTATCCCTCTCTCCCCCCAAAAACGAAAAAGGACCTGAGAACCAACACAGGAAGTAATATCTTCAAATTGACACAAGTTCACAGGGGGTCAAAGAAACGCACTTGGTATTAGATCATAAACTGCAGCTCTTCACAACACATGGCAGCAATGTCTCAACCAACTCAGAGAACAAGACAGATGTTAAAGTTTAACAGTGGAATGATAAGTAAAAAAGAAGTCAAGTAAAGGGTGCTTTCATAAATGTTTATTAGGCAGATGATGTTAGACTTTTTGTGTGTATGCGTGCGCGTGTGTGTGTGTGCATGTAAAAAACAGTCAGCACTTATACTTCCCAAGATACTACTTGCTACCAATTTTAGGCTGGGCTGACCTTGGATCCAAGCTTAGATTTAAAGGAGAAAAAATGGATTCAAACACAAGACCATTGAGCTGGCAGGCAAGCATCTAGCCATTATGCTAACACAGCTATGGACTGATTAAGAGAAAACTACATTTGTTACATTCTCAGAAATTCATCCAAAAGTCATGTCCACTAAACTTCACATGTTTACCCATAAATACATTTCCATCCAGTACTGGCTAACATTTTAGATTTTTTACAAATATAATACATTACAGATATAATATTTCTTATAATAGTCCATGTCATATGGCGTTGATAGTCAAGTCTTTCTGCTGCCTATAGTTTCATGTACGTTTAATCATTTCTTACACAGATAATCTTCAATGCCATGATACAAACCACCCAGCATCTTCTCTGTTAGTCTAACTCTGCAAGCCGTTCTAATGTCACAATGTGATGAAGGAATTTACAGATATCAGTTTCATATTTCACAGGGCATTTATGCGTGCAAGGAAATGAACTAGCTTGCAGATAAAGCTACTGTGGAGGGTGGACGACTCAAGGACCAGGCAGATTTTCTGAATACCCTATAAGAAATAAGATGTTTGCAAGAACCAAGTGATAACTATGAATCTGCAAGCACTACCAGACTTCAAGAACAACATGTTAAAAGGGGTGTGACCAGAAAAGAGCACTATGCAGGAAGCCAAAGAAGAATAAGAAAACAACACAGAACTGGTGTCATCAGCTGCTACACGCTGCAGAATTTACTAATAAGGGGATCCGAGCACTTATAGATCGAATGGTTCAATGTGCAATGAGGATAATCTGTTGACTAACTAACTAGCTAGCTAGCTACTATTTATTAAAATGCAATATATAACTTTAAAACTACACTTCTTCTTCAGTACTCCTAGCCCTTGAAGTTCCCTGCTACAGATATCATACATCCATTCACGTTTGTGATTGGGTTTTGATTTTCGGCAGGTAACTCTGAGTGTTTGTAGATCTGCCTGTATCTTATCTCTTCACATTCATCTTTCGTCCATCTCATGGTCTACAGCCATTCAACTCTTGTGTGCATGCAGGTTCTGTCTCTCTGTTATCTGCCAGTAATGAAGATGTCTTGAAAGAAACTGACCCACGAAGAGAACTGACTGCCCACATCAGTACCAGTCAATCTACATTCTTTGGCTATGTCTTCAGAAAGAGAAAACTGATGTACATCATGACTATGGGAAAGCTAGAGGGGAGAAGAGGCAGAGGGAGACCAAGAGAGAAGATGCTGGACAGTCTGACATCATGAACATGGAAGATCACCTGTGTCAGAAATGAACAAAAGTACATGAGACAGAAGGTTGTGAACAAACATGACCATTGATGCCATATGGCACAGACTATAAGAAGAAGTTATCTGCCATTCTCTCTATATACCTCAACCAGTTAGTGCATCAGCCCTCATGGTGCCAGTAACTGGTGGTCAAATACTAAAACTAAACCTGAGAATCCTTACTTGTTTCTGAAGCTCATCAAGTAAAGCAGACGACTCCTTGACACCACTGGCATCATATGCTTGTACAGCTTCTGATAGCCCGGCCCAGAAACCCGGCTCAATCTGGACAAAACAGGGGAAAACTACTTGAATGATCTGCCTGCGATGCAGAGGTGCTGAATGATATGTGGTGGCACACCAGAACTTATATACACCCCTCTGCAGTCATCACAGAAACAGGTTTCCCAACCAGGAGCCTGGCCAGTGTAGATAGGATCAACATTGCAGGCAAGGAACCAACAGTCTGCAAACAAATAAGCCAGACCAGGTAAAACAGATGTGCAAGCAATATATTCAAGTCCTGGAACAAGGCCAAAGTCCAGAAGTGAATGAATAAACAGCAACTTCTGCATGTTTACAGCCAGTGAATGTGAAGAAGAAGAAGAATTACGTGCCTAAAAAAACTGTGGTACTGTGTACCACCAGAAAAAAGGCCTGCCTTTAACAACATTTGTTTAACAGATGTTGTGGTTCACAGTTAGGCTGCAATATCTTCTACAACATACTTGTGAGAGGGCCCTTGCCGGTTCCAAGCCTGGATGAGAAAAGAGGAGGCCTGGAGGTGGGGCCAGCTCCCCCACCCTGTAAACAATTATTTGCTAAAAAAAGCCTCTGCAGACTTCAGTGGCCAGACATACACGCTACTTTGCTCAAAATCTATCCACTGTCTAGAAGGACTGAGGAAATTAGGACACTAAGGTCAACTCTGATGAGAGAGGCCAAAGGTGCTGAACTAGATTTCATCCATGACATTGAACTGATTGCACCGGATAGAACACAATGGGAAAATAGAGCCCTAGGTGGCATATAAGGGCACAACAGGACAATCAATGAATGGGTGAATATTAGGGGACAATTTATCCCCTCACACACCCCACCACATGGAGCCCTGGAACCCATCTTGGAACAGGCCAACTAAAAACTAATTCAGAAATGATCAAACACAAACTGAATCACAAGTTACAGACAACCCACAAACAGATTTTTGATTCAGACCAGCGGTGAGGTGCAAGTGTAAGTGTTGGCAGGTAACGATTATCCTGAAGAAGGTACCATCTGATATTTTCCTGTCTTCCTTTTTCAGAGTATTCATGCGCAGCTAGCATCGTAGTACAGTACTATTAACTGGTAGTTTTCACAGGTTAGTTTCTGCACAAATGGCATAAGCATGCAGCGAGCCGTCTTTTTACTACATTCATGACATAAACTGAGTGGCGTATTTGTAATTTAAAAAAGTCAACAGTAATAACAAACAGAAAAATAATGTAATTTTCTTTGGCAATGGAAAGTATAAGCAGCGATTACAGGGTTATATGGACGACTTACCACTGAGTCATACAGCAACCAGAGAGACATACCTGATCTCTGTACAAATTCAACATAATTCCAGTGCACAGCTCAATAATGATGACAACAAACACCAAACCAGCATACTGTGGAAAGCACCAGTAAGCATATTAAGAAAAGACTAGTAAATGATTGGTTGGTGCTTAACTTTCAGTAAACAGATATTAAACTAAACTCTAAATTGTTTTTTTTTTTTTGCATACAATTCTAGGTGCCACAAAATCTACACCTATTGCATAAATGGAACACCCACCCTTAGAAACCAGCACTGTTGCACTTCAAGGCAAAAAAATTTGCCACGGCTCAAAAAAGTAGCCGTGCTTAGCGTTCATTTTGATCGGAAGCATTATGTGAGGGTTAATAAACGGTCACCCCAGCAGTACCCTCGCTAGTAGCTGGGGAAGGGACAGGACATTACATCCACGAGCAAGCGTCACCTCTACAATGACCTGACTGCCTTCATTAACGACTGTTCACTCAACAGCCATGCAGTTCTTTGGCACGAAGGAGACACCTTGAACTTTGGTTTTGGACTGCTGACGCCCTACAAAATGTTATGTTATGTTATCACAATCGACGTCACTGCACACTGGGCATTCCCATGTGTGCTCAGTCCTCCGATACAGCAGCCACTTCAAAGTACTTCTACTAATTGTTCCCATGAGAAGCTGGTTATATTGTCTCCTATATCGGCCTTGAAGACAGCAAAGACGCACCACACCACACGCTTTACTCCCATGTCCCGCAATCGTGTTAGTGTCAGGGATTCCTCATTATCCACTAGCCCCGTCTGTACAGTGTTGATGATTTCTGCTCTGTCCATGCTTTTTCCCCACAATCCTTAGTGCAGTGCTTGCCAGTTGGTCCGCTCACTAACTTCCCTTTTTGCCGGCATGACCTGGTGTGTAGATCTAGGTTACAGAGGTTAAGTGCGATTTTCAAATGCTTTCTACCCATTCAGAGAGCATACCATCTGTTGCTATCTTCTGAAGCAAATTCATGGTCAGCATTTTCATTTCACTGGTGATAAGTAAAATCAAGTTGAAACTAAAAAGATATATAACATCTTATAATCATAGAAACCAATATAATGTAGGCTTTCTCAGAGATAAAGAAATTAAAGAACAGTTCTCAGTTACGGTCTCTAATAAGTACCAGGTGTTGCAGCAGTTAGCTGAAGATGTCAACACAGAAGTCTGCTGGGATCAGATCAAAGGTATCTGGAATGAATCTTGCGTAGAAGTTTTTGGCAAGAAAGAAAGGAAACATAAAGCATGGATAACACCAGAAACCATTAAACTGATTGAAGATAGGAAAAGTAAAAAGGCAGAATTAAACAATAGCAAAACTACAGCTGCTAAAGCTAGAGCTCAGGAGAATTACACAGAAGCCAACAAGGAAGTTAGGAGGCATATAAGGGCAGATAAAGTGAAATATCTAAATGATCTAGCACAAGAAGCGAAGACAACAGCAGCAAAAGGAAACCTCAGAGAACTTTACAGTAACACTAGAAAATTAGTAGGTAAATATAGTCAGCCAACTGGATCAATCAAAAATAGTCAAGGAAAGGTACTTACTAACACTAAAGATCAAATAGACAGATGGGTTGAATATTTTGAAATGCTTCTAAATAGACCAGGCCCAGAGGTTCCCCCAGATATCCAGCCTTTAGAAATGGAACTGGATATCAATTGTGAGATACCATCCAAAGAGGAAATTAGAAAAGCTATAAATCTTCTCAAGGAAGGAAAGGCGTCAGGCCCAGATGGTATCCCAGCTGAAGCCATCAGGACCAACATAAATACATCAACGGAATTGCTACATAGATTATTCAGTAAAGTCTGGGAGACCGAAGAAATACCAGCAGACTGGAGAGAAGGATATCTTGTGAAATTGCCCAAAAAAAAGGTGATCTACAGGAGTGTGAAAACTATAGAGGAATTATGTTGCTGTCAGTTCCTGGAAAAATATTAAGTAGAATTATTTTGGAAAGATTAAAAGATGCTATTGATAAAATGTTAAGAGATGAGCAGGCAGGTTTTCGGTCAAACAGATCCTGTACTGATCAGATAGCCACATTACGTATTATAACAGAGCAAAGCATTGAACTGAACTCACCACTTTACATTGGATTTATAGACTATAAAAAAGCATTTGACAGCATTGATAGGGAATCTCTCTGGAAATTGATGGGGCACTATGGAATCCCACAGAAAATTATCAGCTTAGTAAAGGCAACATATAAAGACATGAAATGTCGAGTTCTTCATGAGGGAAAGCTAACAGATGCATTTGAAATAAAAACAGGTGTGCGACAGGGATGTCTTTTGTCGCCTCTCTTATTTTTACTGGCTATAGACTTGACTATGAAAACAGTAACTGCTAACACCAAGAATGGAATTCAGTGGACCCCTACAAAACAGCTTGATGATCTGGACTTCAATGGAACACCTCAACAACATGTTTCCTTAATTTGGTAAAGACACTAAGCCCAATTTGGTCAATAAAGCAATCACAGTGGAACACCTCAACACGTTTCCTCAATTTGGCAAACAAAGACACTGAGCCCAATTTAGTCAAGAAAGCAGTCACAATGAAACATCTCAACAACATGTTTCCTCAATTTGGCAAACAAAGACACTGCCCAATTTGGTCAATAAAACAGTCACAATGGAACATCTCAAAAACATGTTTAAAAGGTTAAAGTGTGAGTTCCGGGGCTCCATTTTGGAGAATTAAAAATAGACCCCCTGCCCCATTCCTAACAAGCATGTCATAGGAGGTGACTAATTAGGGGTATTTCCTTTGAAGTTGGAGTACTCTGCCTGAGAGGCAAGGAACCAACAGTCTGAATGCAAAATTAAGGTCTGACAATCAGAACTTTCCACCAGAGTTTACAACCAGCAAATATTAAGAAGATGTTTTCAGGTCACAGCTATACAAAATTCTATCCAAATAGATCATTAATGAAGGCAATGATGATTGGAGGAACCAGACTGCCACTGTCTGCCCAAAAGCATGTCGTAAGAGTCGACTAATTGGGAGCTTCCTTCAAAGTTTGAATACATTTGCCTGAGAGGCAAGCAACCAACAGTGCGCATGCAAAGGAGTCACACATGTGAAATGGATGTGCATGCAACACTCAGGTTCTGGAACATGACTAGAGTCCAGAAGTGGACGAACAACCAGAACCTTCCGCTGGAGCTTACAGCCGCTGAACACGAAGTATCTGGTAGTATCTGCAATGTTTTACAATGTGAATTTTAATACTGCATAATGGGAAGAACTACAATGATAGTGGGCTCCAATGACTTCACACACACACGCACGCGCACACACGCACGCACACACACACACATGTGTAGACACAGAGACACAGATCAACAGCAGGCATCACAACATTATTGATTTCCTACAGACATATATATATATATATATATATATATATATATATATATATACACATAGGGGCAAACATAAGAGACAGATCAAAAAATATATTAAAATACTGATTTCCCCCCCCCCCCCACCCCCCTCTCCCCCCCTCCCCCCCCCCCCCCCCCCCCCCCCCCCCCCCCCCCCCCCCCCCCCCCCCCCCCCCCCCCCCCTCTCTCTCTCTCCGAGAGAGACACACACAACAGAGACAGAGAGTGACAGATCAACAGAAGATAGAAAAAAATCACGGATTTAGCACTAAAACAGGCAGATATATTGAGAAAGATCAACAGAAGACGTGAAAACCTTTTATAATTTTCCTCACAGGCAGATTTTGAGACATAACAGCAGCTATGAAAACATCACAGAACTCACAGACAAACACAGAAAGATCAACAGCAGCTATGGAAACACTGAATTCACACAAAAACACAGAAAGGTCAACAGCAGCTATGGAAACATTATTGAATTCACACAAAAACACAGATAGGTCAACAGCAGCTATGGAAACATTATTGAATTCACACAAAAACACAGATAGGTCAACAGCAGCTATGAAAAATGCCCTGGCTTCCCACAGACATACAGCTAAACTGCAGACATGGAATGAAAACCTCACTGACTTCACACATAGACAGGTCAACAGGGTGGACAAGAAAAGATCTTTAACTTCACACACATAGATGAACAGGTCAAAAGCAGCCATGAAAACATCTTCACAGACAGACCAACAGCAGCTATGAACACATCACTAACCACACAAAAACACAGACAGATCAACAGCAGCTATGAACACATCATTGACGTCATACCATATACATAAAGAATGTGTAACCCTTGATGGTGCAACAACAACCCAAGCAGCTAATCAGAACAATGAAAGCTCCAACGCCAATGAGAAGAAAGGCAACATCTGGCTGGGAGCTAGAGGAGATTTTCACATACTTGTACAAATGAGCCTTCATCCACACTCCATAGCCGAGAAGAATAACTCCATTTATCTGGGAATGCAAACAATGAACATATAAATATTAGCAAAAGAAGTACCAGACTAGATCTGAGCTATAGAAATAAGATGTACTGAAGTAAGATGGTTTTTATTTGAAGAAAAAAGTAATGTGCCATCTCCACAATGAAGATTGGCTACATTGTTGTTTTGAGGAATATTACATTGTAAGGCCCCAATCTCTTCCAATGTAGGACTCTCGTACTTTTGATTGAAAACCATTAGGGAAAAAAAATATTTTTTGTTTTCTCTCCCTTTTGGGGACTGAGATTTCGTGGTGAGTTCCCGGGAAAGCCCAACTGTATAAGGGTGAGAGTGTAAAATGAACACCGACAAACACTAACCCCCTTTCCCCAAATAATGGACCTTCCTAGGAACTCCCCACCTTATTTCAAAGTCTGTGAGATGCGGTGAAAAAAAAAGAAAGGAACTTTGTTTTCTGTGCACCGCAGGAAACAAACCTCCGCACTCGAGGATCCTAAAATTGTTTACTGCATTTAGTAACTTGTATGTGGTCCTAAAAACTGTTCACACGGTGAGGAGAAGCAGAGGGAGAATAAACAAACAGGCACTGGAATGGGAAAACAAATAGAATGATAAACAAGGATGTCCTAGAGAAACTCTAAGATGAATTTTGATGAGAAAGGCCAAAGATGATGGACTGGATTCCATTAATAATACCAGAAAGACAGCAGGAGAGAACAGAATGGAGGAACAGACTGCTGCCATCTGTGGCATAGACACAAAAAGGATGATGATGATGATGATATGCAAAATGCTAGGTGTGGAACATTTTCAGTAATTTGGGCTCCTAGCCTAAAATGCAGAGTACCAGATATTTCCTGTCATGTAAAAGTTTCCCACCATATCTTTTTCATAAGCTGAATGAGGTATTTGGGATTTGTTCTTTTAGGCTGACATATGAAAAGTGGCTCCTTGAGTCTTCCACATCAGGTAGCAGGTCCTTTGCAAAATGTGGCTATCATTTCCACATGCCAGAAATCAATTCTGTTCTTTCATTTCTGCTTTGTAAATTGTTATGCACAATGTGTCCTTGACATCCTGTGTTCCCTGTTGAGCTGGTAGACTCCTTCCTCTACTTTTAGGAACCACACTCTCCATTACTTTTACTAAAAACCATCATGACATTTAATATTCATTCATTCATTGTCATATTGTGCCATTCTATGTCACAAAGAGATTGCAGTCCATTTTTCCATTCCACTTTACCCTGTGTAATCACTCTGATATCACGGATTGAATCCAGTTCAGCTCCTTTGGATTCTCTCATCAATGTTTGCTTTAGGGTTTCTCTTGGAAGTCTTTGTTTTTTCTATTTTCTATTTCAGTGGGTCTCTGGTGATTTTGTGTTTGTCTTTTCTCAGAATGTGTCCAGTATAGCACCATCTTCTGGTTCTATCCCAAAATCTCCCCCCCCCCCCCCTCCAAACAGACAATTGAATATTTTAGTGGGTGGTAGTTAGGCTGCATGCAGTCTTGTGACCTAGGCTGCCTTCTCTAGTGGGAGGTAGGTGGTTTGGGGTGAAACACAGTTCTAGAAGTTCTGGGGTAAGTTACAAGCATCAGACAGCCGGAAAACCCCTCTTCTTCTTCTTCTTCTTCACTTCCTCTTTTACCGCTGTGGGTGTCGAGGGAGATTTAAGGTTCTGTTTCTAGCTCTTCTGGCTGCCTCGACTATAGGCACATCGTGCTGTTGTAGAGTTTCTCTAATGTTCTCCTTCCATCTTGTTCTTGGTCTACCCCATGCTCTACGTCCTTCTTCTCTTTCCATGTATGCTTTGTATGGTATGGTGTCACAAGGCATTCTCTCTAAGTGGGAAAACCATTTCACTTGCTGTCTTACCACCCTAAAAATATTGGACTGTCCCGTGCTGTCATCCTGGGTGGAGATATCAGGAAAGCATCCATTTTCTTTGTCTTTTAACTGCTGGTACTAGTGGTTGCCCTGACATTTTTCTTATTTCTTCACTCCTCTTGAATTCATCCCATTTTATGCTCTTTATTTTCCTCTGGCATTTTCTAGTGTTAAATCAAGACCTAATCATTCTACCCGAGATAGGTCCCCACTATACAGACATTTTGCAACTCTAGGTGCAGTCATAATACCTATTCCTTCCATGTATATCATAGTGGAAGTATTTCAGTTCACCTGAAACCATATTGACCACTGATACTCACTGAGTCACTGATAGTCAAAACTTCAGGTTGCAGTCCCAGAAAAGAAAAAAAAATAAAGAAGAAAGATTTAAAACTTGCCCTCTGGGCTTATTCTGTGTCTTCACTTCCCTTTTTACTGCTTCAGACATCACGAAAGATCTGCTTCTAGCTCTTTGACCATAGATACATTGTGCTGTTAGAGAGTTTATCTGTGTTATTTCTCATTGACTGCTGCCTGAAAGACACACATTTAGGACTCACATCCAATGAGGCATTTAAAACTTGCCTTCTGGTATTGTTCTGCGTCTTCACTTCCCTTTTAACCCCTTCAGACATCATGGGGGGTATAAAGTTCTGCTTCTAGCTCTTTGACCATAGATATGTTGTGCTGTTAGAGAGTTTATCTGTGTTACTCCTCCTTGACTGCTGCCTGAAAGACATCCAGGACTCAACGAGACATTTGTGGGCACGAGGTTTTACTTTAAGTAACTAGCAGTCCTGCCTAGGACGTGCTCACCCGCTGGTGTTGGCGTTACGGAGGCTCTAATTTTAGGCTAATTATAACTATTCTGGAGGTCGAATTGGGTATATGGGATCTGCGTGGTTGGTCTGCCGTCCAGGCTGAGATTTTTAAAGTATGATGTGGTAAATCTGTAAGTAGCAGTCCAGAAAGGACAAACCGATCGATCGTACCTATGTGGGTGAGAATAACACTAATAACAGTTAAACACTGGACTCTGGAGCACAGAAAAGTTTTCAGTTGACAAGAGTTGCAACACAGGTTAGTTACATACCCAGAACAATGAGTTAAACAACATCGTTAGTGCTCTGGTAATCAT